TTCAAGGTGTTGCATGTAATCGGGTCCCACGCAACATTGTCCTGGGATCAGAAATTCAAGATTGTTAACGCGCGCATCGTCTCAACAGTGTGCTACTGTCTTTTCGCCGCTTGCCTGAACAAATCAGAGCGAAAGAGACTTGATGGGTTTCAGCCCAGGAGTTTACGACGGACTTGCAGAGTGCAACCTTCGTATATAAGTCACGTGTCCAACAACGCCGCGTTGAGCATTGTTGGCGAGCGGCCGCTGGGCGAAGCCATTGCCAAGCGCCAAATGATTTTCCTAGGGCAGCTCGCGAGGCGACCCTGCCACTTCCCCGTGCGATGCTCCGTCCTGCAGCCCAGCGGCAGTGAACCACGATTGCCGACAGGGCCTCGCCGAAGAAGGCGGCCCCGACGTATGTGGTGCAACATGGTTTTGAACAGCTGTCTGAGAATAGCCGGCACCCGCGGCCGTTTGGCTGACATCTTCCGGCCAGAGGCTGGTGCAGCAGCGGCGTGGGAGTCGGCTGTGAAAAGCATGGCGCGACTGACCGGTCTTGTGTCTCTTTCTGCTTGTGCACTGTCTTGTGCTAGCTCTCCCCTTCTTTCACCGTCTTCCTCCTCCTCCTCCTCCTCCTCCTCCTCCTCCTCCTCCTCCTCCTCCCCCCCTGTGAGTCGCATTCGTGCGACAAGCGGCCTGTCTGTTTAATGTTTCACTTTGCTCACGCACCTGCCGGTGCAAGGCTTATTTGATTTGAGTTGGCAGAAGTTGTCATTCTCGCGTGCCTTGCGCTGGGTGGACGTTCCACTAGTATTGCGAAGGTCTTATAGCCGGCGCCGCCGACCCAGATGGCGGGACCACCCCTAGGACCCGGGGGGGGGGAATCGTATTCTGACTTGGGCCCCCCCCCACCCCCCACCCCCCCGTCATTTTTCTTTGTAACCAGCGACGACGGCGACGATGACGATGACGAGGACAAAACCTCGCACACGCCGAAAGGCTGGCAGATTTTCATGTGTCCACCAGAGAATTATCAAAACGGGCAGGCGGAATGCGCGAAACCACTCTTTGCATGTCTTGAGGCGTGCCAGTATCATCATCACCATCGTCACCATCATCATTATCATCATCATCACCATCAGCATCATCCATGTCATCACCATCATCTCAACTACCATCGACGCCTGCAACACGGCCATTGCCCGCAAGGGTGCCGCCGAATTAAATCAATTCGCTCACTCCGCTGGCCCAGACTATTCCATCGCGGGCGTTTCGCGGGCGTTTGCCCGCGTGTTCGTTGCCATGGCAACGCTGATTGGTGGTGGTCGTAGCAGTCGTGGGCGTCTCGGAGCAGAAGGCTCGAAATGGTTGTTCGCGTCCCTCATTTTAGGCCCATACGAGACTCCCCTTCAAGTTCTCTTCGGCCGTTTTCGGGGTCCTTCGGGGGTCCATTGAAGCAAAGTTGGCACTTGCCTGCGTGCTCGCGGGGGCCTTTTTTCTAGCGTCGCGGGGCTGCTGTGGGGCATTTTGGGGGACCTCTGGGGGCCCCTTTGTCGGGTCCTGGCGGCCTCTGGGGGCCTCTCGAGGGCGTCTCGGAGGTTGAGAAGAATCACAGATGTTGTGCCTCTTGGCGGCCTCGAGGAACTGTATCTGACCATTGGGAGGCTATCGTGAAGCTTTTTGGGGAGCTTATGGTGGCCATCGTGGAACCTGCCACCCCGACTCGAATGATCTCTTGGAGCTGCCTTGGGGTCCCGCGGGGTGCTCCTGGGGCACTCCTGGGTCCCCAAAAATCGCCCTCCGGAGTTCTGGCCGACCGTCAGGGGGCCGCTCTGGGTTACTTTCGGACTGGGGTTAATATTCAGAAATCATCAAACCATAGCCTGGGGACGACTTTTTATTATTCCTGTTGAGCATTCGTTTGAATACTTGAGTCTTTCGAATTGTTTCGCCCAAGATCCGTCTGTAGGGAGACATGCCCGACCTGAGACTGGGGCTTCGCTGCCACGCGCGCGAATTTGGAACAGCATAGTATGATACCGCATATTTTAGCAGGCTTCTGGCCCGTTGGGCCGGCGCTTTCTCCCCGTCTCGCGGATCGGCCCAGCTCGAAACATAGAGCGCCGTGATGGGGTCGAGAGGTCTGATCGCGGCTTGTTGTTCACGACGCAATTCGGATCTTAGGGTTTCTCCGCCTGTTTTCTTCTCAACGTGCCCGTCCCCGCCGCCACCGTAGCCGTCGTCTTCGCTGTCGTCTCGGGGCGCCATAGACGGGTCGGGGCGGTCAGTTGGGGAACTTTTTTCTGCTTCGGGAGGCCCGAGGAATTACATGCCGGTCGTTGAAAGTATTTCAGGCGCTTTCCTATTTCAAGAACCGATGTGCGTTTGCTGTAACTTGCTATTCTCTGGGAGGGCCTGAACCCAATCTACTTGATCCGCCTTCCTAGATACTGTTTTGTTTTAGGGTCCGGCGATAACCCGGATTATCGGGCTCGCCCCACCAAGCCCCCCCCCAAGGATAGCCTAACATAGCCGGTTTTGCAGGTCCCGGGGGGGGGGGCGCAGGGAACTCGCAGGGAGCGCTGTGTTCAACGGTATGGTGGCGTTCGCCACAGCATGCTGGTGTTTGGATGCACGTTGGCGAATCGTTTGGGCTTGGAGTGGCACGGGGCGACGACGACAGAGGACGACGACGACAGACGACGACAGACAACGACAGACAACGAGTGACGACGACAGACGACGACAGACGACGACAGACGACGACAGACGACGACGACGACGACGACGACGACCACGACGACGACGACGACGACGACGACGACGACGACGACCGACGTCGTCCATAGGCATCTGGAGGTGCACGTGAGCAGCGCGTACACAGTCATTGCGTTGTGCACAGGCAGCGAGGCGATTTGGTGCGCGCGCTTGCTGTTGTTGTAGTACGATATGTTGTGTACGCTGGCGTTTTGGTGCACGCAAACATAATCACGCAGGCATCCCAGTCATAGTGGTATACACAAACATTGTGGTGCATGGTCATTGTTGTGTACCACACCTTGCGGTGTACACGGGCGCTGCGGTGTACACATCCGCTGCTGTGCACATTCGCTATGATGTGCACAGGCGTTGTGGGCCCAAGAAGCGGGACAGTTCCCTGCGCAAGAAAAAACAATAATCACAAATAGCTTACATATTGGATTTTGATACGCTCGGATCCCCCGCGATTTTCTGGAGTTCGGCCCCACCGGAAGCCCTTGAAGTGTACGCAGTTCTGTGGTGTACACAAACACCTTGGTGCATGAATATGGTACTGAAGCAGCATACGTGGTGCACATAGGCGTCGTCGTGTACACAGGCAGTGTGTGTGTGGTGTGTGCACATGCGCTGTGGTGCACACGGTTGCTGTAGTGTACGCAGGCGTTGCGGTGTACACCGACATTGTTGTGTAGACAGGCGCTGCGGTGTACACAAGCAATTTTGGTATGCAAAGGAGTCGTGGCGCACGCAGGACAGGCGCTGTGGTACACAAGCATGGTCGGCCACAACGGGGGGACCGCACCCCCGCCCAGACAAAACGATAAGCACATTTTGAATGTGATACGTTCGGCCTGGTCCCTCGGGTATTTCCAGATTTGGGCCCTGGCGGGACCTTGGAGGTGCACGGAAGCGCTGCGGCGTAAATGTTCGCCATGCGTTGTGGTGCACGCGGCTTTTGTGGTGTGCACAAGCACCGCAGTGTACACAGGCGCTGTGGTGCACACGGCTTCTGCCGTGTACACAGGCATTGTGGGGTACACAGGCCATGTTGCCTAGACAGGCGTTGCGGTGTACACAAGCAGCTGTGTTGTACAAAAGGCGCCGTGGTGTACACAAGACAGGCACCGTGGTGTACACAAACATGGTCGGCCAAAAATGGAAAGGGACCGTACCCGCGGCCAGAACAACAAATAATCACACATATCCTACACATTGCATTTGATACCTTCGGGCCCTCGGAGATGTTCCAGATTTGGGTACTGGCGGGACTTGGAATTGCGCGGAAGCGCTGTGGCGCAAATGTTCGCCATACGTTGTGGTGCTCGTTGCTCCTGTGGTGTGCACAGGCATCGGGGTGTACACAGGCGCTCTGGTGCACGCAGAAGCCTCTGCTGCAGCAGCACCTGTGATGTGCAAGACCGATGTGGCGCACGCGTGTTTTGTAGTGATCACAGGCAGTGTGGTGCCCGCGTGCTCTATAGATAGTGTACACAAGACTTCGCGGCTACGCTTAGCAACCGCATCTCGCGTTTTCCAATGCGAGCTGTCCAGAAATCCCTAGGCATTCTCAGACGGCGCCCGCATCGTCGCAGCACCAATAGTAGCATCGCGGCAGCATCGTTAGCAGCTGTGGGGGCCACAGCACCGGTGCGCGCGGGCATATGCAGGGCTGCCCACAGCGCGAAGGTTGGGTTATCGGCCGGCCCCCCCCTCCCCCCGTCCCTCCCCGGATAACCCAGGTTGCGCCGATTCAAACACATGGTCACTTACTTCATGTGTTTACTTATTTTTTCCGAAAGACGTGTGCTTCTTTCCCACGCCCTCGCTCATCGAGCTGGCTCTGTGGACCGCTGGGGGAGCCCCTCGTGGGCACGGCTGCGGGCGGACCGTGCAGGTGCGCAGTGTGGTGTCCGGGATCGGTCCGGGGGCCGCTCTTGGTCGCGCATGTTGGCCAAGACGCGGTGTTACCCACGCGGCTGCCAAGCAGCATACGTGAGGAGAAGCAGGAGGAGGCAGGAGGAGGAGGCAAAAGGACGAGGAGGCGGGAGGAGGATGGAGGCACGAGGAGGAGGAGGCGGGAGGACCAGCAGGGAGGCTTCAAGAGGTACGAGGAGGCAGAGAGAAAGGACCAGAGCAAACCTAAGATGTATGAATCAACGATGCTGTCACCATTTTGGTTCAAGCCAGTTCGGTTCAAGTACTCTTCATATTCATAGAACTTGACCGCGCTTGCTCAAACGAGTTCTTGTCTGAAAGTGATGCCAGATCCATCGAGCGATGGACGCAGATGGATGCCCTGCTGTTACGGGCTGTGCCCGTGCTGCAGACGGGCGGGGTACGAGAATGGCGTCGGCCGCTTCACACTTAGGTTCGAAGACCCGATGCAAGAGGCGGGCTTTGTGAAATGCCAGAAAGCGCGGCTGTCCCACCACGTAGTGTTGCTGATGGCCCTCTCCACTTTTCTAGGCCTCATAACTATCGTTGGGCACAGATATTGGGACGAGGATCAGTACGCCACGAATGAGGCTCGGGAGCTCAGCAGGTGGCAGCTGCTGATGTACTTCGCCACAATTGTTTCCTTCAACCTGGGCTTCAGCTCTGGGACACTGCTGGCCAAGTACAATGTTATTGGCACCCTGGGCTTGGAGATCGCTGTCGTGATTGCATGCGGTATCGTCGTGATGGCAATACCGATGTGCACGAAGCATTACCTCGCGCGAGCGTTTGGCTACGACGACACGGAGGCCATTTGGGGCGTGGACACGAGCCCCACCGACGGCAATGTGGTGCTGTACATCGACTGCGTCGTCACCGCTGTGCACCTCTTGGTGCCGATACGCTGGGTGGTCCTCGCTCCGTTTGAGGTGATCCCATTCCTGGCGTACGCCGTGCCTGCGCTGACGCTCGGCAGCCCTGCCGTGCAGGTTGTCCACTTCAACATGGTGGTTCTCCTGGCGCTCACGGTCTTCGCCGCCGTCGGGAAGCGGGCCTTCGAGAGGCAGGAGCGCGAGATGTTCGCGGGGTTCCTGGCGGAGAAGCAGATGCGCTTCCAGGCGGAGTTCCAGCTGTCCAGGGTGGGCCGCGGCGAGGACGCGGCGGGCCGCGAGGACGTCGGCTCCGACCGATCTCTCGCCTCGTCGCGCCCGGAGACGACCCGGAGCGCCTCGGCCTTCGACGGCGGCCCGGACCGCCAGAAGATGATCCAGATGCGCGCCATAGGCCTGCGGGAGCAGTGGCTCATCGCTAGTGGCGAAGTGGAGCTCATGTCCTGCAGGGCTCTCGGCGAGGGTGGTTTCGGCATCGTTGTGCCGGGCTTGTACCACAACACCCTGGTGGCGGTGAAGGCGCCGAAGGAGGGCATCGCACGAAAGGGCCTGTCCGCTCTTTGCAACGAGCTGAGGATCCTTCGCCGCCTCCGCCATCCCAACATCGCGTTCTTCTACGGGGCGTGCATGGACGCTGGCCTGAACAAGATATGCCTGGTGCTCGAGTACGTGGACGGTGTGTCCCTCGGCGCGTTCATCCGTAGCCCGTCCAGGGGCCCCGATCAGCCCGAGGGCTCGCGTTGTGCTGCTCCGGGTGCCAGGGCTCCGGAAAGAAGCGTTTCAGTGCGGTCCTTGATCGTCTTCGACATCCTGAACGTGCTGCGTTACCTGCACTCGAGAGAGCCTGCCGTCGTCCACGGTGATCTGAAGGACTCCAATGTCTTCGTGGAGGAGCGGTTCAGCAGGAGTGGGCGACCGTCGTTTCACGCCAAGCTCCTCGACTTCGGCCTCTCCCGGAACATCACCCGAAGCGCCAAGCCTCTGGGCGGCACGTTGCGGTGGATGGCGCCAGAGTTGGTCTCGCGGCAGGCTGTTCCACCAGACGTTGCCGCCGATTGCTACTCGTTCGGGCTGCTTACGTACTTCATCGTGACAGGCAGCTTGCCTTTTGAGGGCACGAACGCCGAAGTGATGCTGAAGCGGCTGAGGCGCGGCCAGTCGCCGAGCCTGTCGTGGCCCGAGCCCGCCGACGAGCTCACACAGGTTTGCCAACCAGTGGTGGAGCAGTGTATTAAGCCGATGCCGGCCTTGCGCCCCACAGACCAGCAGGTCAGCAACGAATTGACCCCTATGCTGAATAAGGTCGCGGGCGGGGTGATGGAGACGGCGGTGGAGACTCTCACACCTGCAGAGGCCATCAGTCGGGGCACGAAGTCGCCTGGTGACACCGAGAAATGCGATGTGGACGATCCAGCGTGCAAGGAACTCATGGAGTTCAGCGGTGTAGTGAAGGTGAGGCAGGCCAGCAGCTCGTGCCCGGCATAGGCTCCAGGTCCTTGCCTCCGGTGCCCGAGCACGATCTGCTGCAGCCAGAAATGGCCACAGATGGCGACGGGGCGCAGCTGCCCTGGCAGCTGGCCCACCCGCAGTACCAGCCGACGCCGATGAGCACGCAGGTCCTAACGCTGTCGTATCTGCTCATGCAGTGGAATGTTCCGATGCCGGATATAGGGGAGCGAACAATGGCATGAACATATTGTTTCGGAGGTCCGCGCGGATTTTTCTGATCGGCGCTGGGGCCCCTGGCGGCGCCTCCTGCGCGGCCCCTGGCGCGCTCCGCGCGTCAGGGAGGGGGGTCCAGCGCGGATGCAAGAACTAGTTTTCCCAACCCTCCTTCGGTGTTGGGTACTCGTTTTGAATAGAGCAGTGTGGTCTCCACCTCCTCTCCTCCTCTCCTCCTCTCCTCCTACTCTCCTTTTTCCTTTGTTCCCTTCTCCTCTTCTCTCGTGCCGTCTGCGATCTGCGCATCTGTCGCCACTTTCGTGGGCTCCTGGGAGGCCCAGCGGAGGTGAATCCCACGCAGACCACCTCGGGACCTCGCCGCCCCCTGCGGGGCTTGCGATCTGCGCATTTGTCACCGCTTTCGTGGGCTCCTGGGAGGCCCAGCGGAGGTGGGTCCCACGCGGACCACCTCGGGACCTCGCCGCCCCCAGGGGGGCTTGCGATCTGCGCATCTGTCGCCACTTTCGATGGCTCCTGGGAGGCCCAGCGGAGGTGGGTCCCACGCGGACCATCTCGGGACCTCGCCGCTCCCTGGGGCGCTTGCGATCTGCGCATCTTTCGCCACTTTCGAGGGCTCCTGGGAGGCCCAGCGGAGGTGGATCCCACGCGGACCACCTCGGGACCTCGCCGCCCCCTGGGGCGCTTGCGATCTGCGCACCTGTCGCCACTTTCGTGGGCTCCTGGGAGGCCCAGCGCAGGTGGGTCCCACGCGGACCACCTCGGGACCTCGCCGCTCCTTGGGGGTCTTGCGATCTGCGCAAGTGTCGCGTCCTTCAGAATGCTAGTCAGCATTGAGTGGTCCTGAGTATAATCGCCTCATGTCTAGAAAGGGTTGGGTACGTCACAGGGTCATTATGTTTATGCATTTTTCGTTCCCCTAGGATAACACCTGCTGTTTTCTGCACGGTGCCATTGCTACCTTGGACAAGGTGCGGAATGAGCTGTGCCGCAGGCCGTGCAGCATTCGGCAATCCGACATGCATTGTGGCCAGTGTGGCTCTTGTGGAGTGCTGCTGATGCAGGGCATGTCCTTCTGCGAGTTCTGCGAGGTCCCAGAGACCAGAGAGCCGAGCGAGACGTTCGCTGTCTGAGTCAGCCTTTCCTGCTCACACGCTGTAAGTGCCGACCTGCGGCACTTACTGGCGAGGGTGTACGGCTTTGCCCGTTGTTTATGGCTGATCCTCCTGTGTGCACGGCTGAGCGGAGCATGTTAGATTTGTGATTATTCGCGTATCCCCAGCAGCCAATCTAGACACGATCGGAGGTTTTCTTTGAGTCCTCTTGGAGGCTATCTTGAGCCATGTTCAGCTAGAGGCTGTCGGAGGCTATCCCGAGCCATGCTCAGCTATCTAGGACCATCGTGAGCCTGCCTTGAGGCCTCTTGGAGATCAGTCGGAGGCTATCTTGAGCCATGCTCGACCTCCTGGGAGGAAGATGTGGAGGGGGAGGAGGAGGAGGAGGAGGAGGAGGAAGAGGAGGAGGAGGAGGAGGGGTAGGGGGGGAGGAGGAGGAACAAGAGAGAAGGAGGATGAGGAGGAGGAGGAGGAGGAGGAGGCCGACGAGGAGGGGGAAGAAGAAAAAGAGGAGGAGGAGGAAGCGGAATGCGGCACGAGAAAGAGGAGGAGAAGGAGTATGATGAGGAGGAGGAGGAGGAGGAGGAGGAGGGAGGACTGAAAGGAGGGAGGATGCAGGAAATGAGGAGGGAAGGAACGGACGGCGAAAAATAAGAAGTCGAGCTTTGGAGATTTTTTGTTGCGAGAGGTTCTTGAAAGACGACGAGGGCCATCTCAGGGGCTCTTTTTGGGTCCCAGTGGGGCCTCTTGGGGTACTCGTGGAGCCCAGTTGGGGATACTTTCGCGGGTCTTGGGGCCCTCTCGGGGTTGCGGGTCTTGGCGCCGTTGCTTTGGCTCAAGGTAGGGCCATCCCATTTGCCTGTTTCACGATCGTGAGACACTAGCGGACCATTGTATCAGACAAAGACCACGTCTATAAATGATCCACCTCTCCATCGCATGGCTAGTCTCTTACCTCCCGTCTTACATGCCATCAAGATATGAGTTGTGGGATACTTCGATACGTTGGCGACGTTACCCTAAGAGCCGGGTTATCAGTTTATTTCCTCATGGCCAAGCTTCTGACCCTTGCTTTTCAGTTGGTAGCGGAGCCGGCCTGATCTTTATTTGGCTGGCTCTTACATCGGGTGTTATGTACAGCTTGCCACGGTACAGAGGGGTACCCGATTGCGCTGGCTCTCAGCCACTATACTCCCAATATTCTTCAACTAACTTACATTCCCACTTTCCCATCTCCCATCTCCCCACCAAGCACCTACACACATCGGCAAACTGACGGCCGCGTCAAATCAGACACCCAGACTTGTGGCCTTCTGAGGTCTCCTGATCCTCGGGCCCCTTGGGGCCTCCTGGTGCCTTCCGGTACGTCTTGGTGCCTCCTGGCGTTTCCTGTGACCTCCTGTGGCTTCCTGTGGCCACCTGTGGCCTCATGGTGATTCTTGGGGCCTCTTGGAGTCTTTTGGGGCCTCCTGGGGCCTCCTGTGGCCCCTCTGGGGCTTCCTGGGGCCCCCTGTGGCCTCCTGGAGCTTCCTGAGGCTTCCTGGGGCTTCCTGGGGCCTCCTGTGGCCCCATTGAGCCTTCCTGTGGCCTTCTGGTGTCTCCTGAAACCCCTCCTGTGGCATCCTGGGGAGGATCCGTGCCCACGAGCTTGGCCAGCAAAAGCAAGTACGCCGATCGAGACATCCTCAAGATCTGGCCCCTCTCGGGTGCGAAAGCCCGTGCCTCGCTCGAGACATCCTCAAAGTATGCTCCGTAATCGGAGGACGTCGCGCGCCGAACAGGCAACCCGCTCAAGACATTCCCGGCATGTTGGCGCGAACGGTGGAGCGCAATACCCCTCCGCGGCCCTCCCATCAGGGATGATTTAACCCGCGCCTCGCTCGAGTCATCCTCAGAGTTTGCTCCGCCATCACCATCATCATCACCATCATCATCATCATCATCATCATCATCATCATCATCATCATCATCATCATCATCATCATCATCACCACCACCACCACCACCACCACCACCAGCCACAAGCCACTTTTGCTGATGTACTTGCTGAGCCACGGGCTTTGACACTGCTCCGGCAGTTGCGTGGGTCATGGTGGTTCTCGCTCGCGTTGCCTGGGCTGGCGGCTGGCGGCTGGTTGCACCCCTGTGCACATATCCCTCTGGGCCGCCGCTGCGCAGGGCAGGGGCAAGATCAAGCTGCTGCTGGCGCACGATTGCCCTCTCGTTTCGGACAGCGTTCGGAACATCACACTGGCTCAGCTCGACCTCGTCGAGACCCTGTGTGCAGAGTATGTGGCTGTGGACCGAGGACATAAACATGCTGGGACGCGCACCAGTGAACTCGCCATTTGGCTCTCGGCGGCACCTGATCGTGGTAGGGCATCGCGTGGCGATCGACGTGGCCATGTCGGGGATGACGCGAGCGATCGTGGGCCTGGTGGGCCTCCTTTCGATGATGGTGGTCGGCGTGACCCACCGGATCTTCGTGGATTGGACCAGTGGCGTGTTCTTGGTGGGGTTGACCCGTGGCAGGCCGGCCGCGGCGGGCCTGAAACCCAGCGGCCGCGGAAGCATCCTGGCGTTGGCGTCGATCCTGATATTTTTGGATGTGGGCCACTTCCTGCTGTGCCCACGTCCCCCTTCAACTCTGAGGCTCCTGCCTTTTATCCTGATCAGGTTGATGGCGCTGGTATTATTGGTGGCGCTTGCTCTGCAGGTCGTCCAGATGTCCACGGCTGTCACGATACTTTTGGTGGACCTCATTGTACAGATGATGTTCGGGCTTCTATCCAGAGTGCGCTTGACCATCAGTTTGTCATGTTCTTTTTGCGACTGGATGGCCTCTCGGACTCTGTTGCGGCTCGTGCGGATATCTTTCACGCTTCGGAGAACTCGTGCGAGTGCTGATCTACCTGTACGTGCTGATCCTGATGTCGATCCTCCCGATCTTGCGGATCCCGATGTCGTTCCTCAGGTGCGTGCTGATGTCCGTGTGCGTACTGATCACGTACGTGCTGCTGAAGCTGATATACCTGAACGTGCAGATATTGAGATCGATCTTCCCGTGCGTGCGGATCCTGATGTCGATCCTCATGTTCGTGATGATCCGTGCGGATCTTGTACGTGCTGATCATCTTGTGCGTGCATACCTTTCTGTACATGCAGATCCTGCTCGTCCTGATCCTGAACGTGCTGATCACGTACGTGCGGATATTCCTGTACATGCTGATCCCGTATGTACTGGTCCTCATGTGCGTGCTGATCTTCCGGTTCCTTCCGTACGTGCGGTCCCTGTACGTGCTGATCTCCTTGTCAGTGCAGATCCTGTTCCTACTGATCCTCATGTACTTGCTGATAATGATTCGTTCGTGCGGATATTGATTCGGCGGGGTTCGCTGCACTTCTGCAAGTGCACCTTGAAGCGCACCCCGAGGCAGTCTCGTCGCAACTTGATGGCCTCTTTCATGTTCACGCGGATCCTCATGATGGTTATGTACACGGTGCTGTCCTACATGTTACATGTGCGTGCTGAGCCTCCTGGTATTCCTGTGCGGGCAGACCTTCCTGTACTTGCAGGTCCTGTTCGTGCTGATCCTGAATGTGCTGATCATGTACGTGCTGATCTTCCTGTACATCCTGATCCCGTACGTGCTGGTCCCCATGTACGTGCTGATCTTCCTGTTCCTGCCG